AAAAAAAAAAAAAAAAAAAAAAAAAAAAAAACCCTTTTCCAGTTCATAAAAATTTTTAATTTTGAATTACATAAAAACATGTAAATACAGGGGTGGAAAAGGAAACAAACAGGAAGAATGGGGAAAATGTGCAAATACAGCAAAGATGGTGGGCATGGGAGCAATAAACAATGTATAGATGGTATAATTATACGTGAATTTTGGGGTTATAGATGTAAATACTGTTTTTTTCTTCCTTGGTTTGTAATTTAGGAATGTTTATACAAGGAATGAAATAAAAAAAAAATATATTTGTAAATTATTAATTTTTATTTTCATTTTCATGTAAGGGGGCGGACCGGGGTAGGACCGGTGGCGGGCGGTTCAGTGGGGAGGTTGTCTGGACACGTGTTCTGATATTAGTGGATGATGGAAAGGTAAGCCACTGGATTCCCGAGGTTGTAAAAAGTAGGTCAGCCGCCCACAAGCAGAAAGGAGTATTTTATTTTATATATATAATATTTTTTTTAAATTTTATTTAATTAAAAGTAAATAATATATTATTTTATTCTATCATTTTAAATGCCACGTTTCGATTTATAAACGGTTGGTTTTTTAATTTATTATGGTGGGGTGACGTGGAAATAGCAGGAACGGTGTGTGGTGATTCAGCACAACACGTCAACTCCGTAAAATTAATATTTTTATTTATTTAATTTTACGGTATGATATTAGAAATTTTATATTTGACTGAAATCATGCGTCCTCGTAATACGTGCCGAGGTTCACGACTTTAACGTGGGGATTCACTTGCCTTACACGTGACTTACCACGTGTTCTCGATTTTTTTATTTTAATATTTGAGTGTATTATAAGAGTGGGATTTTATTGGAAAATAAATTTTGACGTAAGCAGAATTTTGGGGGAGTGGTCAGCGGACACGTATGAAGGGGAAGAGAGAGAAATGGAACACGTGGCGAAGCGGATTAGTTGATTTGGAAGGGAAGAGGGAAGTTCAGTGGAGAGAAAGAGGACACGTGTCGTGGAAGTGTATAAGAACTTGGTGAATGTTCCGGGGACTGTTAGTATATGAGTTACACGTGTGGAGAATGCCTTTTTTTTTTTCTTTTTTTTTTACCATTAATTTAACGTATTTTAAAATTCAAAATTAAAAAAATTTATAATAGGTCATTGTGGTCCAGAGTGGTCGTTGACGGAGATATTTCCACACCTTTATAAATAATGTTTTATTTCCCTTTCTAATCGATATGGGATCCCACCATCCACCCTCCTCCTTAAGGCTTGACGTCACACACTATTCAATGTCTGTCTATAATACTATTTGTAACAATCTAAACCCACCGTTAACAAATATTTTCTTCTATAGATTTTTCCTTTCGAATTTTTCTTTAAAATTTATAAAACGCGTCAGAGAAATGTTTTCACACTTTCAAAGTTTTTTTTTTTTTTAATGAATTTGGTAAGCGATGATGTCACGAGATTACTAAAACTTTGGTTATGTTGGGAAATGGTCAACATCCCAACTCATTATATGCCCTATTCTTATTGGTCGGTCTTGTGTATGGTCACCTACACTTCCCTGCTCTCGTTCATTCATATATATATATATATATATATATGAATACGAACAAAAACAATATGAATATGAAGTTGATGTTTAAGAACAACTCCACTTTCAACCCTAACAAAATTAAGACAACTAACTATGGTTAAGTTACTAGTCTATCGATTTTTATAGTATGTCTTATTTAGTCTTTGAATTAAAAAAAAAATGTAGAATACATTTTAAAATATTTTATTTTGTGTCGAGAGACTGACGATTCTACCGATCCATAAATTTCTCATTTATATGAACTTAACCCAACCCAACATGTACTGGTTGGATTGGGTTGGGTTGGGTTGATCGGCTTTTGGGATTATCAATTTTTCTTTAATGTAACAACTCATGCGATGATTCGAATAAGGATTTACGATCCATATTTGACATCTAATGATCCCAACATTCAACCATGAGTCATTCCAACATGTTTTATTCTCAGTCACATGAATTATAAGAATATTCCTCGAGATGCACCTTATTAATACGAAGTTCCTATAATTAACCCACCGAAAAGAAATATGCATCTTATTGATATAAGCAATGATTTTAAATTCTTTTAAGCATTTCTTCGTCGTTATATTATCAAAATGATCTCATACGAATGAGGTCGGTTCACTCGTCTACCTCCACTTTACTCAGGTGTCACACGATAATGGTTAGAAAAAGATTAATGCGACAAAACGGGAAGTTTTTATTCGATATTTATCATTATCAAAGGGTCCATTTGGGGTTAAAGTAAGCCAAAAAGGAAAGAAGATAAGATGGAGAAGGGCTGTCATAGTTAATATAATTTTATTTTATTAATTTTGGGTGACGTACATAAAACCCTTTGTTAAGCTAACAGACATAAATGTCTCATTTTAGAACAAGATAACGTGGAAAGTGTCATTTATGGTTAGTTTAGCAAGACAGGAATACTAGGCATCAATTTTTTATTTTTGTTTTTTATTATTTTTATTAAAGGTCGAGAAGGGTCGAGAAAGTCAATGACCCATCAAATAGTAATTGATATCTTATCTACTAAACTATCTCTTCTAGGATCGTAAAGTGTAAATATTCGATCTTTACCAATCGTCGTATTCAAATTGGGTCGTGTTAGGAATCACAGACCTCCACAGTGGTATGATATTATCCACTTTGAGCATAAACTCTCGTGACTTTAGTTTTGGTTTCCCTAACCGGTCTCGTACCAATAGAGATAGTGTTTCTTACCGGTAAACTCATGATCTTCCTCTTAATAAGCTAATGTGATACTGTTCTTCTCAATAATTCTCTTCCACATCTGTGGCACTCAGAAGCCAAACGCTCATTTTTCTTTCCTTTTGTTTATCTTTCTTTCTTTGAGTTTGGGTGATGGAGGACTTGTAAGTAGCTGATTAATAGTCAACGATGAAATTCTGGACCAATGAAGGTCATTGGAACTTATCCTAATTATATAAATTAAATTGAGCTTTAAAAAATATGTAATAAATTACTAAGATTTCCATTTTAAATAGAAATTAATTAATTTACAAATAAAATTGAATTTTATATTTAATAAAATGCATATTCTTGTTTTAAAAAATGTTAAATAAATTTTAAAAAAATTTGAGTTAATTTATAAGATATTTTAAAAAATTTATGGATCAAATAAAAATAAACATTCAAATTAAGGACTAACTTGCAATTAAAACAAATATATAATTTTGGTAATGTTGGAATCTCAAACGTACGAATGGTGCACATTACGACACGTGTACATTTATTATTATTTTGTGTAAGCCCATTGGTCAACTAATTCAATTTCCACAAAATTGTTGGAAATTTGGCAATTTCCATAAACAACTGGATCGATATGTCAAATCCTATAAATTGGGAATTATGAAGAACTCAAAATCCAATGCTACACTCCCTTCCTTACCTCTTTTTTCTTTTAGTCCCTCAATTTGAGGGCAAATATTTATTTGGTCCATAAATTATAAAAAATAGCACTTTAGTCCTTGCATATTTTAGAATTTATTAGACGGGTTTTTATTTTTAAGTTCACGTCCCTTTTACTATTTTTACCAACCTTGACTATACGAAGACTCAAATCTTAGAAGATGCAACAGAAATGGAGAGGAAGAATTTGCACGCTTTTGTTACATTTTGGGTGGCCAACGCCCCCATAGAAATTGTCTACCTGAGATTGTTCCTTGGCCCGTAGGTCTAAACGCAAGGTTAGAATTGAAAGGAAGGAGAAACGAGATAGAAAGAGAGGGAGAGTAAAAAAATCGACTTAACCTAGAATCAATCTAAAATTAATAAAATATGTCGCATTATATTAAAATTTGAGAACTTAATTACGTTACATCATATTTTTATTATTCAACTAACGGTAAATCTCAAGGACTAAAATGTAAATTTTTAAAATTTAGGGATCAAAGAGAAACTTGCCTTATCGGGCCCGAATTCTTTAGGGTTCATTTCATTGTATATTCGATTATTTAATTATTTATTTTAGTCTTTTAAATTAATTTATATCAAAATTGGTTAAATAATAATAATAATTTCTATTATCATATTGTAATTGTAGGCTTTAAAAATTTTCTTCTCATTTATTATAATTTAGAAATGTAGGGGAGGAGCACAAAAATGGGCCAAATGGGCCAAAGCTGGGCCCGGGCTAGAAATTTTCACGTTTTTTCACACTTCAGCCCATTTGGCTAG